TTTAAAAAGTTTTTGACTGTAAATTTTCTCTATTGCTTTCTGTTTCCAACTTCATTGAAGTTTGCTCTTTTCCTTAGTATGTTCTTTCATTTTTTCAGCTATGACTCCAGTTTTACCATCTATTCTCTGGCTTTTATGGAGATTTACTTTACCCTTCTGTGTTAACCTCCTAGGCGCTGTGTCAACCTTAAAAGGGAACAGAAAAGAGAGACTTGGGAAATTTTACAGAGTTCTCTACAGTTTCTTACACTCCTCTTTCAGAAATATTTCATGAATCTCAATGGTTTCTTTAAGTCCGAAAACCCATAAGATGCAGTTATTCTGCCCACCAGAGCCTGCGAATGTAAACTTCCTTTACCTTAGACAGGCAGATTCTGACCTTTGCACCAAACTGGTGCCCAGGAACCCTCTGGTTGCCATTTACCACGTGCTCTGGGCCTGCGTCATTTCATTTCAAGAACAGAGACATACCTGCGCTTAGAACTCAGTCCACTGCATCCCCACAGACTTTGGGGACAAACTCCTCAGGTCCAAGGCCATTCTGGGACCAGTTCTCATCCATGATTTCCACTGGATTCTTTAACATATTAATCAGTTATTTTAAATTTCCTATATGGAAATTTCAATGTCTGGATTATATTTGAATCTGAATTTTTTTTATTACTAGAGGCCCAATGCACAAAATTTGTGCAAGAGTAGGCCTTCCTTTCCCAAGCTACTGGCACCACTTTCCCTCTGGTACCCAGGTATTTCCCTCGCAGCCCGGGCTTCGTCCTGAATGTCCTCTGGGAAGACATCCAAAGGATGTTCATTCTAATTAATATATAATGCTTTTATTATTATAGATTATATCTCTTGGGAGTAAGTTTTTCTTTGTGTACTTTATAATTTTTTATTAATGCTGGCAACATTAATAGTAGGAATAGTAGGCACTAAGAAATAATTTTATGTCTAGATTTGCCTCTTGGTTGTCATGCAATTAATATGGACAGACATTTGTCAGTCAATCTAGTGAGAAGCTGAGCTTGGTTTGTATTTTCTTTTTATTACCTACAGTGCACCACAAACTTCCAATGTCTTCAGAAGTGAGCTTTTGTTACCATGTACTTTTATTGAGGGTATTACCGGAGGATTGTTTTCAGTGCTCCCTTTCACCCTCAGCTTTCAGCCATTCTCATCCTCCTGTGCCTCAGATGGGCATCTCTCTCCATGCTCTTGTCTCTCACTAGTACTAGACTAATGTTCCTTGTTCTCAGTGCAAGTTCATAAGTCTTTGGCAAGTTCTGTGCATCTTTACTTCCTGGGTGGGGATTTCCAGCTCTTCATCTCCCAAACTCTTGTCTTATCTCTGTGATTGTTCTTGGGAAGGAGTTTCCTGTTTTTCCCTTTGGAGTAGCAGACCTTTGCTTACTCTTGGTGTAGAATCCTGACCATTTCCCCAGAAGAGATGTTTTTTGTTCTATTATCTTCTCTAAGAGCAATTGATCTTTGTCTTTGTCCTGAGGTTGAGACAGTTTCCTATTCCTCTACCAGAAATAGGAGGCTCTGGCTTCTGTTTCTCACTAAAGCAATAGATAATGCCCCTTCTTTGGCGGCTTACTGCTTTAGCTGTGATGATAGTGTATCTGGAAAAGTAAGTGGGGCTTGTGCCTATTCCCAAGCAGCAGCCACCTGCAGGACACCTTTACCATTGAGGAGATGGCTTCTGGTCTTTTTCTCTGGCCTAATCTTTCTTGTGAAAGCCCATGGATAAGAGCTTGTGAGTGGGTGTGAAGTCTTCTGTTCCAAGCTGATGTTCTAGTCCACATATTTGGCTTCTAAGATTTTTATAAAGATTTTAGCCAATTTCTTATTATTTGCTTGTATGGCAGCCACGTCTGCCCCCATGCTTTGCCCAAAGTTAAAACATTTCACATGCTCTCTCTCTTCTTGTAGGATGTTCTCCTCTCTTGTACTTCACTTTAATTGCCTTTTGACCTCACATCTCTGATTACCAAAAGAAAAGTTATGATTTTGTTGAGGTATAGTGATTAAGAAATACAAATTGGCTGTTACAGAATAGTCACGGGGATGTAAAGTACAGCATAGGGAATAGGGTCAATAATCCTATATAATAAGGAGGTAATATGCAAATTTACATTCATGCCCTCACAAGATGGCCACCCCCATGTGGTCAAAGATGGCTACCACAAGATGGTCGGCAGGGGAGGGTAGTTGTGGGCAATCAGGCCAGCAAGGAAGGGAAGTTGGGGGCAACAAGGCTGGCAGGGTTAGGCAGTTGGAGGTGACTGGGCCAGCAGGGAAGTGGTTAGGGGGTGATCAGGCTGACAGGCTAGCAGTTGGGAGCCAGCAGTCCCAGATTGTGAGAGGGATGTTTGACTGCCAGTTAATTGGAGTGGGGGCAGACTAGGCTAAGGGACCCCCCTCCCTCAGTGCACGAATTTTATGCACTGGGCCTATAGTATTCTAATAACTAGACATGGTGCTGGATAGGTGCTGGTAGGATTTATTGGGGTAAATCACTTAGTAAGTTATGTAATGTCTGGTCACTGGTATGAATACCAGAAACTAATATAATGATGTGTGTCAACTGCAATTGAAAATGAAAAATGATTTTAAAAAATTAAAAAGATAAACAAGTAAATGAGGGGAAAAGATCATTAAAGAAATGAGAGACCGAGTGAATGTTTCATTTTGCTATGCTGTCCCAATCTTCCCAGTCCTGGTATCCAGAGGTTTGGAAGCAGTGTGTAAAGTAAGACATGTTACACCAGGACAGAAGCAAATAGAGAGATCAGGCTAAATAAACCTTCCCAAGTGCCTGATAATTCCTCAGTGAAGATTCTGTTGAGGAAGTGAAACATGGCTGTCAGCAGGAAGTCCTATGCTCTGTAATTGATTATTCCAGTAACCCCCAGCCTGCCTTCACAGATGCTAGTGGGTGAACATGAATTTGCCGCAGGAAGAAAGAGGCCCTGTGCTGAGAATAAGCATTGCTAATTACCTTTCTTCTATTTGGGAGCTCCAAGGGCTGCACATACACACTTGCTTCCTTGGAAGAACAGTATTAACTGGCAAGGGTAGAATGTCCCCAGCAACCCATGTCGTAAAGATGGTTCCTTAGATAGAAGGTGCTCTCTGTACCTTGAGTTGTTAGTCTATTTTGGCACAAAGTTTGGAATATGTTTTGCTCTTCTTTACTCCCAGGGTTGGTAATATTTTTTTGTTTGTTTGTTTGTTTCAGGACTGGCTGTGTGTGCAATTGTATGAGACAAAGCTCTTACTGCAGTCATGAGCTCCAGGGATGTTTGCAGTGTTTGCTGCTGCTGCTTATCCCAAGGATTTTGGATAATGATAAACATATTAGGATGTTCTCTTCCTCTGGTCTAAACATGTGTACCTACACCATGGTTGAACAGTCTCCATAGGGAATCTGCCCTTGTCACAGACTGGGCCTTAGCCCTTAGAAAGTTGGGAGATAGTTACTTCCAAGCATTGTATTGGAGAGCAGAAAATCTGATGCAGACCATTTGTGTCTTTTGCTATAGGAAAATGCAAAGCTAGTAGAGTGAATTAATTCCGAGACAGACAATAGAGTGGGGCCCCAGGCAGGGTCATTCAAGAGACACACTTTTTCTTTGGAGTTTTTAGCAGAAGCAACTATGTTCTGAATCTTCATAACTTCTGAAGCTTTTCTCAGCAGGCTCTTTGTCTCTGTACTGAAGGCAGTTAGAGAAGTACCCAACTTTCCAGAATCTTCCAAAAAGAAGCATTTTTATCTGAAAGAGGAGTCCTTCCCTGTGGCTGGACTTAGTGATGCCTTTTCAGGGCCCAGTATATGAATCTGGATCCAACTCATCAGGACATGTGTGTGAGGAGGGAAAACACTTCCACAAGGGAAAATGCCTTACTTCTGGCGCTCTGCTTCTATTCACTTCCTGAATGGATATGATTTCTCTAGCACTGTAGAATACTGTTTTCATAAACTCATTTCTAGTCCCTCTAAAAAGGGGCATCCCGGGGTGGGGGGGAGTTTTGGTCTTAATGTGGGATAACTTGTGAGCTGGGGGAACAGGCAGCAACAGCATTTTCAGAACTATCTTTTGCAAATGTCCACATTCTGAGATTTAAAACAAAAGCCAATACTGGCCAGTGCTGTTTGCTAATTGCCGAACAACAGGAAAACACACTGCAGCCAGAAAAATCCCTACTGAGTTTGGGCAACTGATCTCTCTGGCAGTAAATGAAAGCTTTGGTTGTTGCTTCCCCCACCCCCAACCCCCACTACCCTAGGACTGGCTGAGCAAGCCAGGACTGAACCCACTGCATGCCCCCCCTCCATTGTGGGCATAGCATGTGTGTGGGGGGAGGGGAGGTGCAGGCACCCTAACTCACAATTTTAGGCAGCTGCACACCTCAGCCAGAGACACCACACCAGCGTAATTCATCCCACACCTCACAGCCAGGGTGATCCCAGCCTCAATGGACAATAATTTGGAGGCATTGTTTACAAGTCAATTTCCCCTTCAAAATAGGCTATTATAAAAGTGGGCCCTTCTGCTTGCCCAGGCTAGGCCCACCTGTCACTGGGACTTCCTAGCCAGTGGTCACTGTATTGATCCTTTTAATCCCCTCTCTTTGAAACGCAGAGCCAGCTGATGTGGAGCTCCTCAAAAGAAAGGCTCTCCCACCACCCCTACCTCTACAGGTAGCTGAGAATCCGGACTAATTCCCCACTAAAAAGTCTTAATTGGTTTATGGGGAGCCTGAAAGGTCTCCCTTGTGTTCATAAGGTGAAAGGAAATGATGGATCATAAACTCCCTAGTCTGTCTTTATCTGATTTTTGGTGGAAATCAGGTATATTTTATTTTTTGTTTTTGGCTGGAGGATTTGAAAGCGGGTGGGGATAGTGTTTCACTTTAGTGGTTGAACGGCTAGGGGAAGGAAAGAAAGGCCCCAGAGAGACACCGACATCACGCAAGAAACTTGGTGACTTAGTTTTTATTTACACAAACACCTGCAGTACAAAAATGTAAACTTTGATAACTCATTATAATAGAATAAACTCTTTATGTACAAAAATACATTTTCATATGAATGAAGCATCTTGAATAAATTAAAGTACTCTCCAGCCCAGTGCCTGAATAGCTACCGAGGCAAGAGTCTTGGGTTCTTCCTAAACCAAGCCTGCAGTGGTGGGGGTCGGGATCCATAATGCATGAAGCCCACTCCTTGTCTCTCCTTTTTAAGCCTTTTCATTGTATTGTCAGCCGGCTCAAACCGAATTTTCATGCTCGTTTTTCTTCATTAGAGTTCTACAAATTGTAAAATTGACTTTTCACCTCGTCTTCAGGGGCTGATCTGTCCCTTTTCTAAATCACACTGAAGTGGTGGCTGGGGTCAGCTCTGAGCCTGCCACAAAGGAGGTTTTGTGGAGTTCAGAAAGTGCAAAAGGGAAGGCTGTCTGGGGGCAGGCAGGAGGGGCCCCGGGCTGAGGGCTGGAGAAAACAGACCAAGGGGAAGCCGTGGCGAGGGTGCAGCGACCTAACAAGCGGCTCAGGTATCCTCCATCCCTTTAAAGCTCCCGCTTCCTCCCTCCGCCTAGACTGGGGGTCCCGAGGCCTCAGCTGGGGCCCCATCTACTACTACTGCCTGTTGCCTGGGGGGAAGGGAGAGGTAAAGGTGTCCAAAGGGGCCTAGTGGTAAGGGATGAAACAGGGCGTTGTTCGGAGCAAGTCTTTGGGCAGGCTGGGGAAGGAGAAAAGGGGGTCGCCAAGACTATAGGAGAAGTCTTCGGAAGTGGCAGGGCTACTGGGGTCAGATAGTGGTGAGGAGGCGGCAGCACATGGGGAGGCGGCAGCACCAGAGCCCCAGGACTCAGCGTCGCTGGCGGGGCTCGGGGGCCCTGGCAGGCAGGGGGCGCACTGTGGCGGCAGGAGGCGCTCTCGGGCACCGCCTCCGGGCAGCCCCTGGTCTGCCAGGCGCAGAGTCTCGGCCAGAGCCCAGATGTAGTTGTAGGCGAAGCGCAGCGTCTCGATCTTGGTGAGCTTGGTGTCGTCGGGGAAGGAGGGCAGCACGCTGCGCAGCGCATCAAGCGCTGCGTTCAAGTTGTGCATGCGGTTGCGCTCGCGGTCGTTGGCCTTGACGCGCCGGCTCCTGCGAAGCGAGTGCAGCAGCGCCTCGGAGCGCACCCGGGCGCGGCCCCTGCGCCGCCGCCGCTCCTGCTCGTCCTCCTGCGCCCGGGGAGTGTCTGACACTCCGGGAACCCCGGGGGCGCCCCTGTGCGCCGGCACAGGCGGCGCTGAGGCGGGGGCTGACTGTTGGAGCCTGGCACAGTCCTCTTCGTCCGTGAGGAATCCGGACAGGTCGCTGCTGCTGCTGCTGCTGCTGCTGCTGGCGCAGTCGAGGTCTGAGAGGCAGGTCTCCAGAGGGGCTGGCATCTCGGCGTCGGGCAGGACCGACGGACAGATAAGGGAGCGCTTAGAGGGCAGGACCTCGGGCTGAGGGCAGGACCGTTGGGGCACACTTACTTTCCGAACGGCCCGGGCTTACACGGTGCCCGCTGCGGGCACGAAGGCCTGGAAGGGCGCGCTGGAACTTGGCCTTTTCTCCTCGCCTCGCCTGCCGGGGCCACGCTCCAGCCGGTCTCCCGAGTGATCTCGCCGGCAATCAGATCAGCTCGTGTGAGTACGAGTGTGGCACACGACTGGCCTCAGGACCCCTTAAGTATCCGGCACAACAATAGGCGCCCCCCTCCCCGGCCACCTTCGTCCCCGAGGCAGCCCCCGTGAATGGAGCGAGGCGGCAGGTCAGCCCCGTGCGGCGCCCGGGTATTTGCATAATTTATGCTCGCGGGGGGCCGCCCCCGCCCCTCCCCCGCCCGGAGTGTGCCCGTAATTACCGCGGGCCAATCGCGGCGGCTTGTCCCGGAGCTGTCTCGGGGCTTAGCCCGCCGAGGCGTTTCCAGTCGGTGAAAAATGGGGGCGGGGGCAGCGGGCGATTAGCCTCCTGGGCACGCTCCTCCGGGGCGGGCGGGGCGCCCCTCGCTGGGGTGGGATGGCCAGGCGGCACGCTGGAAAGTGTGAGCAGTGCAGAGAGTAGCGGAAACCTGGAGCCAGCTGGGATCCTGGGTTCACTCCTCTTTCAGGCCGCTTGATTTTGGGAAAGCGGTTTGACTTCACTTTCCTCTTATGTAAAATGGTGCACAGAGTCTACCCTGAAGAGGTTGATGTGAGATTTCGTGGGATACTTGGCAAGGTACTTTTGCTAGATGAATGGTTTCAAGATAGAGCGCCTCGGAAAACCCTGTCCAAATAGAATGCTACCTTCACCAGGAGGAGGGGGTGGTAGACCTGTTCGGAAAGTAAAGGAACGGATGATTTTCCAAGTTGGTGGAACCTAGGCATATCTCCCCCCAACACCCGCCCCCCCTCCCCAATAGCCTAGCTTATTAGGAATCCCTTCCCCCTCAGCGAGCTCTTGCAGCCTCCTCCCCACACCCCACCTTCCATTTGCCCTTCAGTCTCTGCTTACATCCTCTGAGGCCCCCTTCAGTGGAAGCCATCTAGGGGACAGGAGAGAGGGTAGCAAGCAGCCCTCACACTCCACCCCCTTCTCCCCTTAGTGAGGTAAAGGCTCCTTTTCCAGCAAGTTTATATTTTGCATGTCAGGAGTTGCTTTTCTTTGGTCACCAGTGCTTACTCAGTGTTTCCCAACCTTCTCTCATGATGAGAATCACCTGGTGGAGTTGTTAAAACACAGATTCCCGGATCCCAACTAAGAAGTGCTAAACTAGGATTTTGGGGAACATATAGGTATGCAATTTTACCTATATGTTCCCCAAAATCCTAGTTTAGCACTTCTTAGTTGGGATCCGGGAATCTGTGTTTTAACAACTCCACCAGGTGATTCTCATCATGAGAGAAGGTTGGGAAACACTGCTCTAGAGTAGGGGTGTCGAACTCAATCAGAGAAGGGGCCAAAATCTAAAATCCAGCCTAAATCGCGGGCCGAATGGTTTACTGAACAGTCATAAACTGTCATTGTGATGGAAACGCAGCGGAGTGCAGTGATGACAGCGCGGTGCGGGCCACATTGCAAGGCCTGGCGGGACGGATTTGGCCCGCGGGCCTTGTGTTTGACACATGTGCTCTAGAGCATAGAGGTCCAGACACCCCCAACTCTGTACTTAGGGGAAAACAATCACTAAGGACCAGGATGGGGGTGGGGTTGAAAACAAAATGAATAACTTTTAGCAAAGTTTTACCCCTCTCCTCCTGATATCTGACCCTTTAGCCACTGGCCTCAGAGCAGACTCTGCCTTGGGCACTGTCCTCCTTCTAGAGGGGTGCTCTCTGGAGGCCAAGCCCACCTTGGCTGGCTGACCAGTGCCTATCTTCTGGCTCAGTGGATTCTACCAGTCCTCCCTTCCCCTCTGCACTCCATATGCACTCCCACCTAATGGGGAGAGGGGAGGCTGGACACAGTCATAGATGAGGGCTTTAGGTATTTTAGAAGTCATGAAAAGTGGCTTTAGTCAGTTTAAGTAAGAAAGGGAAGTTATTGAGTGCATCTGGGCATCTTAAGAAACCCAAAGGCTGCTGGCATTTGTGTGAACCAGGTATCCTAGGTCTGCTTCTTGCCTGTTTCTCTCCCTGCTTCCCATGGCCCCAATGTACTCCCACCAGCTTTGACTTGCTGACATCTCTGTACCTCTGTATTACTTTCCTGAGACTGCTATAATAAATTGCTGCAAATTAGGGGCTTTAAAACAATAGTTTTATTCTCTTACAGTTCAGGAGGCCAGAATTTTGAAATCAAAGTTTCAGCAGGGTTGACTCCTTTTGGAAGTTCTGAGGGGAAATCTATTTTGTGCCTCTCCTAGCTTCTGGCGGCTTCTGACAGTGCTTAGCATTCCTTGGCCTGTAACAGCACCACTTCAATTTCTGCCTCTTTCTCCTCTGTGTTTCTGTGACTTCTTTTCTGTCTAAGGACACTTGTGAATGGATTTAGGGCCTATCCCAATCCAGAATGATTTCATCTCGAAACCTTTACCTTAATTCCAGCTGCAAAGACCCTTATTCCAAATAAGTTCACATTCTGAAGTTCTAAGTAGATATATCTATTGGGGAGCCAGTATTAACATACTACAGGTCCTTTTTCCAAATTGCTGGAGGGAAGAATTTGTTTGGTCGGGGGAACAGGGTCATCAAAGTAGCTATTTGTCATTTCTTGGCTGCCTTGCACCTGAATTTGAATGCGTGAGCCCTTCCTTCCTCATTTATGGCAATTAGGAACTACCACTTGGAACTTAGGCTCTGGGCTGGTGGCAGTTCAGGGTACATTTGTGTCATGACAGCAACTGGTTAGGGTTAGGCAGTGACCAGTGGTAAAAGAGGTGGCCTGGAGCCAGTGGGCATCCAGACCTAGTTCTTCCCTGTGCATGCCTTCAGAGCACACACACACACACACACACACACACACACACACAACATATACACACCCCTATTTTCCAAACCTGGTTCTCTAGTCTTCCCATTGAGTGCACAAGTAACTTCATAGTACATATTTTCCTAGTAGGGGTGTTTTGTTTTGTTTTCTTGAGTTGGCCATGTTTAATATCTTTGGTTTGCTAAATAAAACACTGAGTTAAATGCTTAGGTGGCCAAAGTATAGTGGGTGACTGAGACAACCCATATACCATATTATTGTCTGTTCTGTTTTGTTTGTTTGTTTTGGTTTGTATTGTTAATTCTCACCCAAGGATATTTTTCCCATTGGTTTTTAGAGAGAGTGGAAGGAGAGATGGAAGGGGGGAGGGAGAGAGAGAAAGAGAGAACATCGATGTGAGATGTTTGCCACCAGCATGTGTCCCAACTGGGACTGGGGATGGAACCTACATCTTAGGTATGTGCCCTTGACCAGAAATCAAATCTGCAAACCTTCAGTGCATGGGCTGATGCTCCAACCACTGAGCACCACAGGCCCAATCTTGTTGCCTGTTCTGGACCAAGTACAGTGCTGGACACTGAAATAACAGAGGTGAAAAACTGGTTGATGGGGGCCAAGAGCTCTGAGTCTTGAAAGATGAGGCTTTAATGCCAACGGGTACCTTTGGAGAGTATCCATCTATCCACTGCACCTTATACTTGGGAGACAGATGGAAGATGGGGAGGTCTTTTCTCCAGGTTACCCCAGGGATCTCTAGTAGTCAAACCTGGGCCAGACTCAGGAGTCCTTTCAGCCCTCATTCCATGCTTTTCCATCACAATTAATACATATATAGTGAGTGCCTACTGTATGCTGCCCTGTGCCAGGTGTCTGTGGAGAATCAGGCATATTATATAGTCTTGGGGCAGGAGAGACATGGTCACAGAGAGGTGACCTGCTACTGAGGACCCACTGGCTGAAAGAAGTGCTGAGGACCCACTAAGAGAACAGATCTAAGGACCATTGTGTACTCCCCAAAGTGAAGGGGGTGTTCAGAAAAGGCTTCCTGTCAGAGAGGGGTTTGAGAAGGCCTTGAAGGATAGAAGGAATGTGAATAGACAGTCTAGGTAAAAGGGAGCAGTGGGGGTGACTGTGGCAACAATTTGTTGGACAGTCTGGTGGCCCTCTGTGGGGATCCAGTGAGAGAAGAGCAGGGGCCAGTTGGATGGGCCTTGAATGGCTCTGGTGGCCTTTCTTCTTTCTTTCTTTCTGTCTCCTGTACTTCCTGCTCTCTCTGTCAGAGTTGTAAGGCTGTCAGAGTTGTTCTAGTGGCTTACTGAACAGGGGCATCCAGGGCAAGTGGTGACTAAAATATAGCTTCTCCACCACCCACCAAGCTGTGCATCCTGATGTGGGACTGCTCTGCCCAGAGAATTGTGCTTTTCACATGTGCACAAAGACACTTTAGGAGCTAGCAGTGACTCCGTGTTCTCACCTGCTTTTGTCTCCTCCTCTGCCTATACCTTAGTGATCTGTCTTCTCTTAGCCTTGCTCTGCCTACTCCTGGCTCTTGGGCATTGCTTGTGGCAACTCTCCCCCCCCCCCCCAACATTAGTGCCTGCCCTGGTGCTTTTCATAAGTACATCTGAGGCTTGGGGTTCATAAGTACATCTGCCTGCCCACATCTGGGAGGACCCAATGAGGATGGAACTGAATGCTGAGAGGATGGGAATGAGATGAGAGCTTAGGCTCAGGCCTGTTCTTTATGAGGCTCAGACTTTTCCCTCAGAGAAAAAGCCTGGGCCTTTCTAGGAGCGTATGTATCCTTGATGGAGAGGATGAAAGTTTCTCCCATTTTTCCGGATCTCTTGGTGCCTAATCAGAGGACATTTGTGGAAGCTCTTATTCCTAGAGCACAATAGGATGCAATGTGGACATGTAATAAATCCAACCACAGCAGGCCCGCCAAGATGGTGAGGGCTGCACCAGGTGTTCTGGCTGCCTGATGTGTGAACCATCCAGCTGACAATCTGCTGGGGGGTGGGTGGAGATGGGTGGGTGGGACAGATGTTTCAAGAGACTGGATTAAACCAGAGTTTCTCACATTGTGGTCACCTGAGGTGTAGTGATGATGGGGCTCCTGGATGGATGAGAGGCTAAGGTGCCTTCTCAGGCATCTATCTCAGGATCCAGATGCTGAGAATTAGAATCTCTGGAAATCTGGACCACATGCTGTGGTCACTATTTGCTGACACCTAGAGTCTCAAGCTTTACCATCCACCCTCTTATCTTATGCTTGCCCAAGCCCTTGAGGCAGATCGGGCAGGTATCCATGGCAGCTCAGAGTGCTACATGTGATATCAAGGCTGGGCTCCTCCTGTGGCTTTGCCTGCCTGCCTGACAGCTGGGGGAGTGAGGTGAAGGGAG